TGAACAAAGACAAATTCAGACTGGAAATTATGCATACCTTTTTAACAGTGCAAGTAATTAATAATTGGAACAGTTACAAAGGGTCATGGTGGATTCTCCAGCACTGATCATTTTAAAATCAAGATTGGATGTTTCTCTAAAAGATATGCTCTAGGGCAGGGGTAGGCAACCTATGGCACGTGTGCCGAATGCGGCACCCAAGTTGATTTTCAGTGGCACTCACACTGCCTGGGTCCTGGCCACCGGTCCAGGGGGCTCTGCATTTTAATTTAATTTTAAATGAAGCTTCTTAAACATTTTAAAAACCTTATTTACTTTACATACAACAATAGTTTAGTTATATATTATAGACTTATAGAAAGACCTTCTAAAAACGTTAAAATGTATTACTGGCACGCGAAACCTTAAATTAGAGTGAATAAATGAAAACTCGGCACACCACTTCTGAAAGGTTGCCGACCCCTGCTCTAGGGAAATTCTATAGCCGGTGTTATACAGGAAGTCAGACTAGATGATCACAGTGGTCACTTTTGGCCTTGGAAGCCATGAATAAAGCTTGAAATGTTCATATAATATCTAAATTTAAAATAATTTCTACAAAATGTAACTCTTGATGAACAGCAGTGGAAGTAATTTTTCTTAATTATATTTAATCTAGTATGGTTAATCTCTGGCCAAAAAAAGATAGTGTAGCTCTAAGAGCAGAACAACCTTCAAATGTGCATATAGCGTATTCCTTACAGGAAGAAATCCCTGGAATGCATGGCAATAAACATTTGCAACAGATATTTGCAAAGTTTAATACATATTTTCCACCTAAGCAATGTTTAGTTCATTGTTTAAAGTACATAAAAATGAAATTTACAAATACATTATGTTCATGTTCTTTATGCAGTGAATCTACAAGTTGAATTTTAAAAGTACCTGGATGAAATATTGAAAAATCTCAATGTTTAAAATGAAAAGCAACTATTTTAATAGTGTGTTAATTAGACATATTGAACCATATATACTAACCCTAAACGTCTGACTTTGACCAATAAGGGAAAGAAAATTAAGAGTCAGGTTGGGTTTGAAATAAAGTTTCAGCTCTATTTTATTTACAAAATTACAACATATCAAACATAGAACTAGTTGCCTGGTATTTTAAATACAGGGGAAGATTAGAAAGCTGGTTTTGTTATTTAAAGGAAGAAATTAAGTACCTTATTTTGGTAAGCTTATATTTCTTATCCCAATTTTGAAATGGCCAAATCAATATATGTTACATTTTTAAAAGGCTAAAACTTTCAGGGTACGTTTTAAGAGGTCATTAATGATTCATGGAAAGTTTTGCAAAGCAGTCTATTCAGAGAATTGTCATTTTCTATATTTCTTCCCAAAACCCATTTTAAAACAAAAATTCCTCCAATTTTCTACTACTCTATTTATTCCCTGGTTGTAGTGAAACTAATTTTTTCTTTGACGCTGCTGTGGATTGATTATGTTGTCAGAGACAATCAGGGAGCAAAGAGAAAGAACAGAATAATGTCTTCAAAACACTGATCTTAATCCAAGTAATTTTCTTTACAGATAACGTCCCTCTGAAGTACTTCAACTAATTTCCCTACAGTTAGGCATTCTGTTACTACTGCTTGTGTAATGTAGTCACATATAATGCTTGGTTTCTTATTTTCAATCTCTCCCCCATCAAAGCATACCCATATTAAGACATCACCACCATGTAGCTTAAATTCATGGCAGATGTTAAAGTATAACTGAGTTTAAAAAAATTAACACAAATGTAATAATTAACAATACAAACCTTTACAATCCTTACATATAAGCACACACAGACTGTATCTTGTACAGGCTAAGTCCTGTATAAAACTGCTTTTCATATAAGAAAGTGAAACAACAAGGAATTCCATAAACAAAACAACAACAACAAAATCACAGAAATAATGATCTATGACTTTTTCCTTACTAAAGATGGTATTTTAATTATGTCCATCTTTGCTGGGGAGGAGAAGGAAAGTTGTCCCATTATATCATTAGTTATGGCTACAGTCCCACAGTTAGATCGATACATGTGGAACTTGTGTGCTATGTATTATGGGATGAGAAATGAGCAGAGGTTTTGTGAAGATTCAGATATTACGTGGAAAATTTTCAGCAATGAGTGATATACAGTACTGCAGGTTAACAGAAAAGCCCACCCTGAAATATGGACCAAATCCAAGACCTGAACTCAATGAAAGACTGACTCCATCTGATTGTAGGACTGGGGCCTGAACATGTATATTTAATTTTAACAAATACAACCACATTTAAAAAGTTATCTTACAGTGGTTCTGACAAAGCAATATACCATGCAACTGTTTCTCACACGAAGATTATAGAGCGTGATCTAAAGCCTATTGAAGTTAATAGGAATTTTTCTATGGACTTTGGACTGGTCCTATATGAAGCAATTTCAGACATTCATTTTTCTGCAGCAGGCAGAATTTAAACCTCAATTATCTAATGCTTAAAGCCAATTTGATCCAAAACAAAATACTCATTTACATAAGCCATGCCAGTGAAAGAAAACTAGAGGCACACATTTAGTTTGGTTGTTTTCTTATTTTAACTCTGTATCAGAGTCAACACTGAAAACTTCCTGCATAATATCCATCCCAATCTTTTCTAATAAAATCTCTGCTTGTTTCTCATCCCCAACTACACAGAGCCCTGCACAGATACAAATTTTGTATCTGCATCCAATCAGCAAACATGGTCTGTGGATATAAAGTAGATATCTGCAGATTTTCAGGGCTCTACAACTACACAGCTTTTGTTCTTGTATTGTAATTTTTTTCTTAATGTAGCATTCAGCTTCTGGAGCATTTTCCAACTTTATTTATTTATTTTTGGTTGGTCCCAAGTGTGTGTGGTGGGGGGGGGGGCAGGGGAAGGGGGGGAGGGAGGGAAGCAGGCCCTCTCCTTTTTAAATAGGGGTTTTTTCTAGATTTTTGACTGCAACAAAGAGCCACACAGTTTATCACTGAAGTCAGACACTACAAGTCTGATAGTTTCTTTGTGTACCTTATTGCTCTCTAAAGCAATCCTTGGGAATATGTAGACTATTATGCTGAAGTCCTTGCCCTCTGGTCCTGCTGAGAGCCCAACAGACACATGTTTTTACCATGTGCTTGGTTTTCCTAAAATTCAGTCTTATAGGCAACGACATAACTGAAATCCATATATTTCACCCCCTCCCCCACATCTTTAAACTCACTTTCCACCTGTACTATTAGTATTATAGTACCTAGGAATCCTAGTCACAGCCCAGGACCCCATCGTGCTAGATGCTGTACAAACAAAGAACAAGACGACAGTTCCCTGCTCCAACGACCATACAATATAAGAGACAACAGATGGATACAGACAGAGGGGAAACAATCAGACAATATTGGACAGCATGAAGAGGTGATTTTCATGACCTTCAGATCAAGATAATAGGCATTCTCACACCCACTTCCTTTGTGTGGACTGGCTAGCTCACTCATCAAGGTGGTTTCTAATGGTTTTTAACAAGAACCCATCTAGCTACACTGGGAGGCCTCCAAGACACCTGCTGACCCATTGTCACTGGCAAGCCATGACTCACATTCATTGTACTAAGTCAATAACTTACTGTTGCTTCCTAACAATCCTGCTCCCCAAAACAACTCTAATTTGTTTGATCCACTTTTCTAACACATGGTAGATTCTTTAAGAGGTAAGGACTATCTTTAGGAGTGTGTAGTCTCTCCCTCAACTTAGTACAATACCTCCCCTCTACCCTGTGACATCCCTGAAGTCAAATGACCATTAAATATCACATTTGCCCCCCCCAAAAAAAACAACCCATCAACCAACCAACCAAAAAAAACCCAGCAGTTATTTATCAGCAAGCATAAGAGCTTGCTGTTGGCAGTAGTAGCACATCTCAGTGGATTGGGGGGGGGGGGGGAGGAAAAGGAGACAGGAGACGACAGAAAGCACTAAAAGTAACTGGGGCTAAAAGATAATCTCCCATGAGCTCAACCATCCCCTACCTGGCTGGAAATTTCCAGCCAACAACTGTAGTGCAGTCATGTGTTTTTGATACCAGTGAATCTGCAAACACTGAAAATATAGGTGCAACAAGTAGCAGAATAGAGGGGTACTGTGCTTTGGTAGCTGCTGCCAGATGTTCTGGCTTGCTACAGGGGACAGAGCCTTGCAGCAATCTCCAGATCCAGCATGTCATACATATATCAGCCCTTGGTCCCAAGGTACTCCAGAATTAGGGTTCCCCAGAAAACAGACCAGTGGTTAGACCAAGAAGGCATGATGGGATCAGAGCACTCTACTCTTGCACACTTCCAGGAAATCAAATTAAAAAACTTCAAGTGAGCCTTGGAGCCTGAGTTGGGGGATTCTTGTCATATAGACTAAAGTCTCTTTATATTAGTGGATATTGGTTCTGGACAGTAGCATAAAAGAGTTTTGCTCAAAAACAAGAACCCCAGTTTGTTTTGCATTTCAACCTGGGCAGGTTTAGGTTATAGTGAGTCTTGGCAGTCCTTGTTCAAGCTCTTTTCTATTTGAAAAAGCAGACATTAAGATAATCTTAAACCTTTGCCTGTTTATAAAAGTGATGACTGAGCAACAAACTGTGGACTAGTTCCCCTATGTAACCACATATCTCTATGACCCTGCTCTGTTAGAGGGTGTGTGTGTGTGTGCGTGTAGGGTCTTCATCCCATTTGCAGCTTCTGGGAGCTACTGCAATACAAGTATCATCTTTGCTATTTTCTCTACCACCATTTCAGTTACAGAAGTTCAAACAGTCTCTACTCCACTAATATGAATAATCCAACCATCTGATATTTGTGCACTCACTTGTATATTGTTGGGGGGCGCGGGGGGGGGGGGAAGAACTGAGGTTCACAGGAAACATTACTATCAGAAAGTAGCAAGTTTCAACACAAATTAGAAGGAAATACAACCTGTGCAGTTAGGTTCACTTTATTGAATACAGTCTGAAATCTGATAGCTACAGCAGTGTATAAACAAACTTTCCTATAATTCTAGGAAACAAATTGAAAAAGGTCTTCTACATTGTAGAAGGCAGCCATAACTGCTGATATTCATGCTTAGATATTGAAACTGAGCAACTGCACAGCTGCAGTGTAGAGTCTATGGCCTCATCCAAAAGAGGCTAAATAGTAAGGAGGGAAGATGTTAACACATCAACAAAGATGCTGGTATACCAATCTGATACATCAGTGACACACTGGGGTCCCCTGAAAGATAATGAAGTGTTTCCCCTTAAATCCAGTTTTAAAAGCTTATTTCCAAAAGGTTTTTAATTTGATTACTGCAGTACTCTTGTGTCTGCAAAAAAAAACAAGAGCTAAAAACCCCACAGGATTATGGTTCAGTACAGACTAAAACCGGAGGTTGATAGCTTTTTGGCTTGGTTGATTAGTTGCATAAGTTTGGCCAGAGAATCACAAGCACAAGCCACTTAACATTGCAAAAGCATACCAGCATCAGCACCTAACTAGCCTTGGAATCAGACAACTGAGGCCATTTACTTATTCTATGACCTTTCCCATCTAAAGCTGCAGTCTCTCCCACTGCCTGTGGATCACCACTTCAGATATTACTTGGTGGCCATTACAGTGCTCTACACCATTTTCTTCAAACATAACACTGTACATCTTGGACAGGATCCCAAGGATCCCAACATACCTTGTTAAAGAGACTGCAGCCTCACCCCCTCCACTCCCATCAAAAATATGACTTGGGAAGGCTCTGCGCAGAACCTTATTTGGAGGCATTTTAAATCCAAACCTCCCCTCCCCTCCCCCAATAGACTGACCCTATTTTGATGATAAATTCCATGCTGAATTGTACAGCTAGATACTCAGTTCTTTGGCTGATCTTAATAGTTGCATTCAAAATTACTCTACGTGAGATATATTTAGAAAAGATATTTATACCTGGTATTGATACTCTTTCAAGTACTCTTTTAATCTTGTTGGTAAAGGCAGTTCCAAGATCTTATTTGTACATTTGTTTATAGTTATTCTACAGTGATGTTGCAGAGATGGAATTGAAGTATAGAGAGGTTTGTTCAAATAAAGATGCACTATTCCATTTGATGAAGTTTCAGGCCCAGTTTTTCTATCCTTGCATGTAAGAACGTAGTATTCAATCAGATGGACCACACTATCAAATTGTTTAAGCCGAGATCTGACACATATGATGGAGTCCAGTCTGAATTTGCCGTCTTGATACTCGATACGCAGATTGGTTGGTCCAGCTGATGTTTTTACGGAGATAGTCAGTAGATACTCTGAATGGGAGCTGTCTCTAACCAAGAAAGTACCTTCAGGAGTATCTTGTAATCTCTCTTTGGCTTCAGCAACATTCATACTGCCCCAGTACCATCCTGTTAGAAGAGGGAGATGGTTTGTTGTTGTTTTTTCCTCCACAAAAAAACGTTTTTGTAGAATCTTATTTCCTTTAATCACTAGAAAAAGCAAGAACTATAACTTGCAAAGAAGCAGGCATTGTATAATGTCTATTAAATATTTAACTTAGTTTATTGTATGGTGTCATCATGACCCTGTCAGATCACTATTTCCATGTGTATTCCTGTGTGAATAAGTATTAGATTTCAAAATTTGCTGACAACTATCATGTACCATCCTGTGTACAACATTCCAAATAAGTTCATATCAAACTACATAAACGCTTGAAGTCAAGAATGATTCTTTTAATAATTCTGGTTAGCTTATTAGTCAAATGATACCTGTATTAGTTAGAAATAAGATAGTACAAGTAAGAGGAAATCCATGTTATGAGACAAGGCTTCCATTCTGGCAGTCTAATGAAGATAAAAATTGTGCATTTTGTAATGCCTTTGATTGTCCCTTGACCTGCAAGTATCCCTCACTTTAAAAACCAATAATTTCTAGAGCTGTATGAGTAGCTATTTTTCCTTTTCCACATTTGAGTGATATAAATATAACTGAAAAGGTTTTTAAAAGTGTATGAGAACATAAGAGGGCTAAGCTAAACTCTTCTGGACTTTGGGAAATTCAAGTTTGATACTATTTTTAACAATTTATTTCCCCCGGACAGTAATTCTGAATTCCATCTGGGATAACAATGCTATTTAAGTGTTTCATGATTTTATTAAGACTTAATTTTTATATATAAAGTGAAGCTATCTTTATCAAAAAAACATGGTTCTCACAGAGAATTTGTAAGATTAGTTTTTCCACCAGATACCATCCTTCCAGAACAGGCGACTTGAAGTTATTGAGGATTTTTTTAAAAGTTTTAAATTTATTTTAAAAATAGAAACCCAGTAATCTACAATTGGATTTATTCCCCCGTTCATTGCTGCGTATGGGATTGAGATTTTGTCTCTTCCTTTTCCTCTACCTAAAGATAGAGAGGAAACAAAGCCCCCTGAGCTGGTTTCTGAGAAGCAGTCACCACAGCAAGACAATTATTTTTAAAGCAAAAGTTAAAAGCGATGTGGTTCCATGGCGCGCAGCGCTGGGTGATCCAATGGAGAGCGGATTAGCACGAAATTGCTACAAATCGCGTGTCCGCCCGCAGCCCGAGGGAAGGGAGTCTGGGCAAAGCGGCTCCCCCGCGTCCCGCTGCCTAGCGGAGAGGCTGCTCGGCCGGGGCTAGCCGTGGGAAGAAGCCCCTCTGCCCGCGGAGTCGGAGGGGAGGGGAGCCAGCCCCCGCCGGGATGGGGATGTGACCCAGCCTTTGGACTAGTAGACAGTTTATTTGCCACTGAGGGGAGATACGGGACGCTCCCACCGGCCGGCCGCTGGCCAGACTCCCAGGGCCGGGGGGAAGCAAGCCCGGCTCCGCAACGGGCAGCGCTAGGTTGAGGCACCTCCACGCCGAGGCGGCCAACATCTCCGCCTCCCCAAGCAGCAGACAAGTGCCCCGGGGCTAGGCCCTGCGCTAGCCCGGCCCAGCCGCGAGGTGCGCGGTGCATGTGCCCGGCCGATCCCCCGGGAAAAGCGCCTGTCCCCCCACCCGCTCGCTTACCTGCCCGCCTCAGCTCCTCCATGGCCGCGACCAGGCGCTCCGCCGCCGCCCTCTCGGTCACCTCAGCCCCGGGACCCCGCCACTCGGTCCCGGCCCGCTCCGCGCCATCCGAGGACTCGGAAGAGCGCAGGGTCATTTGGGGGGAGGCAGAAGTCACCCGCCGGTCACAGCCCGGGAAGGACGGAGGGCTCCGCTCCAGCCCCGCGGCGCCCGGTTCTCAGCGCCGCTCGGACATGGCCCCAGCTCCTTGCCCGGGGCGCCGGGCCGTCCTCGCCCGCCGCAGCCTGTAAGCCGAGAGAAGAGCGAGATTTACCGCCGAGCCCCAGCCCGCGCTTCCCAGCACCCAGCCCAGCGCCCACCTCGCGGGTGCCGGGCGGGCGGACCGACCTCTCCCCGCGCCCACTACGGGAAGGAGCCGCCCGCAAGCGGACGGGGCAGCCCCCCGCTCGGCGCGGAGATTCGCCTCTCCCGGAGCGGCGGACTTGGCTAGCAGCCCCGGGGGCGCAGCTCCAGCTGAGGGGCGAGTCCCCAACGTGCCCGCGCGGGGAAGGAGCGGAGGGGCCGCCTCGCTCCAGCCAGGGCACCGCCGCTGTTGCTGCTGTCGAGGAACACGCGGCCCCGCCAACAAGCCGCCTGGCGCGGCCAGAGCCGGGCGGCCGCAGAGGAAGGCGCCTGGGGAACCGAGCCCAGCTCTTACCTTCGCCTCACCAGCGTCCCTGGGTCAGTAGCCGCGCGGGGGGCTTGGAGACAAGGAGAAGCCAGGTGGGGGTCGGCCCCCGGAGCCCTGCCCGTGGGGGGCGAGCAGGTTGCTCTTATTCGCTGGGCGAGCCGCGCGCGGAAGCGGGAGGCAGACGGGGAGCCCCTCTCGCCCGCACCGCCCAGGCCTCTGCTAGGGGAGCGGGCTCGAGCCGCCGGGACAGCGGGCCACCCCCCGGCAGCACGGAGACGCGTGCACGTATTTAGCCCAGGGCGCCCCCCGCCTCTCCGAGCTGGTGACTGCACAGGCTGCTTTCCAGGAACTTTCCAGGAACCGCATCATGTGACAGCGCCAGCTCTGGCGCCTCTGCGCTGAAGGGGAGCCGGGCCGGAGCCGCCGTCGCCAGGCGTGGAGCAGCCCCAGCAGCCGTCCCTCCCATCGCGCACGGCAGGGAGGAGACACACCCGGCTGGGGTACAACACCGACCCCTCTGGCCCGGGCTACGGGCCGGGGGAGGCCTCCCGGGGCTAGTGAATCCTCCCTACGCCGGCGCATCGCTGCCCTGCGGAGCCCCGTCCTTGGGCCCACGCGGTCTGGGGGCGCGGCCGGAGGTCGAGGAGGATAGGCTGGGGTCAGCAGGCGAGGCAGCACGTGTCAGGCGGCTGCTGTGATCGCAGCGTGGCTGGCGGACGCAGCCCGAGGCCAGGTGTCGCTGTAGGGTCGAGCCGCCCTCCCACGCCCTCTGCTCCCGTGTCGGCCACACATACCAGCTATTCCCTCTGTCCCGGGAGCCCAGCTCCGTTAGCGGGGCCGGGCTGATTGACCTAGGAAACCCTCTTCTCCTCCCGGGAGTGATCGTTGCTTTTCGGGTTACAAAACAGGGTCCCTCCTTAAGAACCGGGTGGCGCTTCTGGACTGACTCCCGCGCACCGCCCGTAGCAAGCGGATCGCCCTCACCTGGGGGCACCTCACCCTGCCTGCACGCCTCAGGAGTTGGGCGTCCCAGCCTGTCTCTACGCTTGATGTTGCTTCCTTTTCCCAGGGAAAGTCGGGACTCGGGAGCTGTAGCAGCACCTGAGCCTTGCGCAGTAATAAAAGAGCTCGGGAGTTCTCTTTCTCTGGGGAAATCAGTCTCAGGCCCATTAGGTACTTAAAGGGACACTGCCAAGAGTTAGAAACTCTTTATACAGATATTTTTATAGTTGAAACTCCTGCCCCCACACATCCAGGCACTTAAATATCTTATTATTAGAACCATCTACTAGTCTATTTTTCCATTTTTATATCATCTGTAAACCGCTTTTGGTGGGGCTCACAAAAATGGTGAACTGTAGTCCTTCTGCTGGCTTTGCATTAGCTCCTAAGTAATCAACGCCATTCAGCATTGCTTAGGGCTGTTGATGTTTTGGTAGGAGGCTTGAAAGGATTAGATTTTTGCCATTTTGTTGATAAATATGGATTTCACTGGACAGACACCTGTGAAAAATATTTCCATTGATAATAATTGAAATTTATAGATAGGCAAAGTAAGAAAAATGCTGCTTGACAACTTTTTAAAGTTGATTTAAGGGTATTCAGTTCGTATATTTTGATGTGAGTTGACAGCTAGTGTTTTAACAGTTATAAAGTTATAAGTCTCAACATCTACTGTCATTGAATAATTATTGTCTAACCCCCTATTGTCTGATCCACCATAATTTCTGACAGCTGTGAACATTTAAAATTGATAAAAATATAAAAAGTACGCTTAAAAATAAACCATTATCTGTCAGATTATAAAATAAATATTGATTTGTGCCAACCCTATTTATTATTTAAAAGAAAGCGAAATAATAACCATGTTAATATCAGCTCTATTCCAAACAGGAAAAATGTCACGAATTGCCCAACAGAAGAGGGCAAAATTGGGATGGAAAATTGTTTTTAGGTATCATGAGATAAAGGATTAGAAAGATTTTTTTAAAAATCCTAGAGACTCCATTAAAATACCTAATTGTATCTTTAAAAACTTAAAATCTGTGGCCCGGGAAAGATGCAAACATATGTATAACATTGCTAGGTTTTGTGGCATAGCAGGCAAAAGGGTGAGGTCTAGTGATAAGGTAATGTGAACTTTACTATTAATATGACTTCTGAATAAAAGAACGTAGGTAGAATATGTATATGGATTCACTGTCCATACAAAGAGAAAGCTCTGGGAGTGTCAAATGTCTTTTGAGTTCAGACTTTGGGGTAACTCCTGAAATAACTACTTTAACATCTGAAAGGGGGGACTGTTTCAAACAGCTGTAGTTTTAAAAAAAAGATTATTTGTAATATATAAACATAATGTTGAGGATGTGGACAAATGGAGAGAAAGATCTGAGTTCGTTTTGTTTAGTTTGCTAGTTGCCAAAAAGAATTGTTAATATTTAGCTGGCCACTTATACAATTCATGAGGCTCCCTTGAAATAATCTATTTTGCAAAGTGACTCTGTAAATATGGCATTGTGGACATGTTTATAATGTCTCGGTGATTCCAGATCACATGTTTATAATGTCTCGGTGATTCCAGATCACATTTGTTTAGTATGAACAAAAAGATGGCTTTAATTACTGCCAGCATCTCAAATTCAAGATGGGAGTTAAAAATCAAGCAGGCTTCTTTCTGACTCATGCATTATCACCAGTGATATAAAGTAATAAAGATTTTGAAAACCATATTCTGCTCCTATTTTCATCTGTGCAATTCAAATGTTTTCAGATTCAGCTCTCTGTTACTCCTGTAGAACTCATTTGTTTCCAATTGCACACATGTGATGGGAATCAGAATATGTCCATGTAGTTCGGAACTTAGTTAATTCTGATGTTGATGATGTGAAAACTTGAATAGGATTTAGCTCACTCCTTCAGAACTGTGCTGCTTCTGCATCGTTAACAGGAGTTTTTAAAAAAAGTAGTGCAAATGCATTTTTGTTGCTAAAATAATTGTGTCTCTGAAAATATGCTGGGAGTGGATCTGTTGCTCAGGAAAATGCTATTTTAATATGGTAGCTTTTCAGATTAGGACCACATTTTAAAGCCACTCTGATTCATGCTGGAAAACTTTGTAATGTATCCTACCTAGAGAAAAAAGCTGCCCTTATTACAGATTTGCTGTATGTATCTTCTCCTGTTTTGTTAGTGACATTTGTATGTAAATTGTATTTTAAGATTTCTTTTGCTCCTACTGTTTATTTCTCTTTGAAGTCCTAATCCCCTGTTTGTAAAATCACAACTGGCTGCTGTAAAAATGATTGTGATGTCACAAGAAGGAAATTATGACTTCAGATAGAGAATAAACCACAAGGACAAAGAAAGTTTTAAGAGTAAATAACTTATTTTCATTCAAATATCACTATAAAAAGGCTAGAACAAAAATTAAATAGAAAGTATATCAGCAGGATCTCTTCTGAATAGAATGCTCTATTAAGTTTTCTGTTACAAGTTATTACCTTTTAAAAATAATGTTAAGGGACTGACAAATTTACAAAAGTGAGGAGATTCAAACTTAAGGCTACAAATCCATTGCTAAAAAATCACACCTTTGTGGCTCATTACTGTAGTTCAGGACATACTTAAGTTTATAGACTGTTTTGAGACCCCCATAAATACTTGTAGGCTTGACAGGATGAGTTAACAGTTCGCTGTTCCTACCTATAATCTGTTAGTCTATTTTCCTTTTGGCTTGTACGAGTCTTTCAAAATGTATAGGGGAGAGAAAACATTTTTTTAAATGTAGGAAAATATAATTCATTTAAATTAGCTGTGGGATTTGGGGGCATGTGCAATATATTAAACTATACAGTATATACATTAAACTCTTTTTCTAAAAATTGTCTGGATTGCAAACTGATGGTGCCCCTTTATCTTTTTTGGCACTGCTATTTTGGGTGCATACATGGTCTGTCCTGTACTACACAACAAAATTAGAGAGAATGGAGGAGAAGGAAAAAGGAGAAAAATGGAGAGAGGGGAGAAAAGAAATAGTAGTAAACTCAATTCTTAAAGTTTAGCACGGAGTAGTGCAAGCTGGAAAAAGGATTTTAAAATCTGGTCCCTAACAATGGTTCCTCTCGTCAAAAAGTCACAGATGTGAAGGGAGAAAGAGTTAATTTGCTACAAAACAGGGAGTTTAAAGTGATCATTTCAATTTGAACCAAAAGGTGTATTCTTGTGTCTCCGTGCTTTATGGAAACAATTCAAAGGGAAGTGTAACATACATGTATAGTTGAAACTTCCAGTTCTTGGAGTGTGTTGACTAGTTAATATTCTGAAGCTCTTCTGAGTATTCAAGACAGGTTAAGTCAGTTTTTAGGACCAATTCATCCAATGAAAAATTAAAAGCATGAATTTCAGAAGTCTCTTGGGAACCCTTTCCAGACACTTTCTACAATGCATAAATCTTCTTGTTTAGTCCAGTGCACTATCCAATAGTTGAACTGATGTACGTAGTTTTTGTACTATTGAGAATACTTATACACTTCTACCCCAATATAACGCAACCTGATATAACACGAATTTGGATATAACGCGGTAAAGCAGTGCTCCGGGGGGGCGGGGCTGCGCACTCCGGCGGATCAAAGCAAGTTCGATATAACGCGGTTTCACCTATAACGCGGTAAGATTTTTTTGGCTCCCGAGGACAGCGTTATATCGAGGTAGAGGTGTATTTTGAAAGTGCTATTGAAAATCAGGAACAGAATACACTGACTGGCATGTCAGACATGCTTTCAGTGATGTGCTCACAAAGAAGAGGGGTGAGAGACTGGAGGATTTATTTGTGTATTTTCTCGTTTAAGCAAAATTCTTTTTTTCATAACCAAGGAGGGAGGCAATAGCTTTTGGCAAAAACGTGAAGTGCCTTTTGATGGAAATGTTTTTACTTTGTTCTTGAAAAGTATGCTGAGTTTATTGGCAGGTTAGCACAATGTTTTATTTGTGGAATGGAATGGAATGAGTGGAGGAGGGGGGCCTTCACCCAGATGATTGGCCAGGTTAAGGTTGCTTTGTGCTGCTAAGTAGATGTAAAGCAGGTTTATCCAGCTACTGAGGGGAATATATGGACAGTGTAAATGAGCCTTTCCTAATTCTTTCCATCCCTGCCCCTCAAAGCCCCGGTGCAGGATATATAACTAGAACATCCTTGTACTCTGACAATTCCCAACTGCTGGAATAGCTCCTTGGCCAGTGAATATATTTCTTAAGGAGTTCAGTATTGCTTCCCAAGCATCCCCAATTACTAATTATTTGCTGTATTTTGACAACTCCTTACCAGAATTAATTTAAATAACCCTTTATAGCCACCAGCCCTCCACACCATCCTACTTTTGTAACAACCAGTCAAATACCTTAGCTTCTGGGCTGAGAAATGGGCATGCCAAATTTCAGGCCTTGCAAATTATAACAAGCAAGTTTTACATACACCCCAAGAACAGGGTTTTTGATGGAACCCCTGAAGACTCCTTTGGTTCCTGACTCTGCAGCCAGGAGGGGAAGGAGAAGGGCTGCTTCTTCTACAAACTGTTTAGGTTCTTTCCATCAGTTTTATGGATTGAGTTAGATAGTTCCTAAAACGTAAATAAATACAACAGAGATACAACAAATATTTTTGTAAATGGGATTGGCCTGCTCTTTCCAGCCACTGAAGGAACAGAATGTTTTTATGAAATAAATCATGATTTATATCAAATAATTTTCCTGTTAGCTGCCACCAGTATTTCCTGCCATTTTAGCTATTTAGATGTGAATTCTTAATATTCTTTATGAATATGAAAGTGCTAAATGAGAATACTCATAGATTCAGTATACTCAGTCATTTTTCTTTTGTAAATCGCTGAAGTTGTCAAAAGACTCTCTAGTTATAAAAGAAATCCAGATCAGGAGATATCTGAATTAAAAGAGCAAAATTAAATGACAAAATAAAAAGACCTGAAGAAGGGCTCTGTGTAGCTTGAAAACTTGTCTTTTTCACCAACAGAAGTTGGTCCACTAAAAGATATTGCCTCACCCACCTTGTCTCTCTACAATAAAAATATTATTTTCCTGCAGAGATTGTGGTGAGAGAAAAGGATCGTTTCCTTTATTGGATGGCTAGATGAATGGTTGCCAGCAAACCTAGAACTCTGAACATAATCTTCTTCCTTTTTTCTTTCTCATTTGTTTCCTCTCTGTTTCTTTGCTTTGGTGTTGGTGGTGGTGGTAG